CCCCAAAACCCCAAAACCCCAAAACCCCAACTTTCTTAATTCTGAATGAACTTATTACTATTATATACATTATTTATTAAATATGCTGTTATTCACATTATGAAGGAAGAGTTTCTCGCTTCAGTACTCAAAGTGATTCTTGATACTGCAGTTCCTGCTGATAGTAGCAGTCTTCTTCTTTTATTTATTCATGTTCCTGATCTTTCAACTAATCGAGATCCCTGAAGAACAGTACTTGGAGAGGGGCTACCAATGGGGCCCTCAAGAGATTTTTGGCTACAAATCTTTTAATGAAGACAGCGATGAATGGTTTCGATTTTGTCACGATAGACCAATTAAAAGAAGCATAATTGCTCTTGCTCCTGAAGGAGATCCGACTATAGGAATAGTGAAGAGGATCGTTCAACAAGAAGTCAAGAAATTTAATCTTACTGTGAATACATACGAAAACAGAGAGGTACTCTGGGATTTGCTCAAGGAGCAAAAGGAAGGAATCTGCTTTGGTGCATTCTTACCTACTGCTGATTATCAGAGCAATGAGTATAAGCTACATTTGATATTTAATGATAGAGATTCTGTTGGTTCTTTCGACTCCAACATTCCTGACCAAAGAGATCCAGCGTATAACCCCAACAAGAACAGCATAGATTTGGCGTCTTTTAACAAATACAAAAATGGAGGATATTCTTACATGCAGAATGTATTTAGCAATGCCATATTGAAGACAATATCCGGAGAAGAAAGCTCTATCTCAATGGCTATAGTCCTTATGAAAAGTGCAGCTATGACGGAGAATCTATTCCTAGAAGGCTCTGGAGGTTTCTTTGCATTCTGAGTTACCCTAGTTTTCCTCCCCTCAGCCTTCGCATTGGTTTACTACACAGTTGAAGAGAAGAGGTCAAAGATCAGAGAGCTTATGAGTATAATGGGAATGAAAGATTCAATCTACTGGAGCTCATGGTTTTTGTATTACTTCATTGTGACAACGATACAATGATTGTTTGTGACAAGTGTCCTAATCACTGTTTTTACCCCTATGACCCTCTTATTTATTTTCTTGTACTTATGGCTCTTTGGAATCTGGATCTTTGGTTTCTCGGTCTTTATTGGGTCAATGTTTCCCTCTGGGAAAGCTGCAGCATTTAGCGCAGTCACTTTGCTGTTTATTATCTCAATGTCAACTAAATACTACGAAACAGAACAAATTACTGAAGTCCCAAAAATTTTTGTTTCTTTAATACCTCCTCTTGGAATAATATTTGCCTCAAATAATATTGTTACATTGGAATCAAATGGAGTTGGTGTGCAATTTTCCAACATTGGAGAAACAATTGATGATTACAAATTAATCACATATTATTGGATGACTCTCGTATCTACAGTTTTATTCACCTGATTAGGTCTTTATTTAGAGAAAATTCTACCAACTTCTCCTGGAGTCAGGAAGTCGATCTGCTTCCCATTCAAGAAGTCATACTGGTTTGGACACAGGAGAAGAGCTTTTAACAGGAGTCAACTGAATAGCTCCACTCAGAGGTTGCTCAGCAGAGCTGAGCATCAGCTGGAGTACCTACGAGAATCTTATTTTGAGCCTCCCACTGAAGAAGAGATAATGAAGAAAAACAATGATCAGTGCATTCTGATCGAGAATTTATTTAAAGAGTATGGCAATGACAAAGCAGTCCGGAATTTAACAGCTGAGATGTATGAAGGCCAAATATTTGCTCTTCTTGGTCATAACGGAGCAGGAAAATCCACAATTGTCAATGTCTTATCTGGTATGGTCGCGTTTAGTCAAGGCAATGGGTATATTTATGGGCACGATATCCGAACAGAGATGGGAAATATCCGCAAAATTCTCAGTATATGTCCTCAAAAATAGCATTCTTTTCCCTGGAATGACTCTGATCGATCACTTATACATCTTTGCAGAGCTGAAAGGGAAAAGCCGCTCTGAAGTTGGTTCAGAAATCAAGGAACTACTCTATGACTTAAGACTAGAGCCTTACAAGGAAAGATACTGTCAAGAACTATCTGAAGAGATTCAACGTAAACTCTCTTTAGCAATATCTCTAGTAGGAGGATCCAAAGTAGTCTTCCTTGACGAGCCTTCAAGCTGTATGGATCTTGGCTCTCGTAAAGAAATGTGGGAAATTTTACATAAATACAAGACTAACCGAATAATCATCCTGATTACTCATTACATGGAGGAAGCCGACTACCTCGGAGACAAGATCGGTATTATGTCTCACGGTCAAATGATATGATCAGGATCAGCTAGATTCTTAAAAGGCAAGTTTGGAGAGGGGTATAATCTCCACTTTATCAAAGAGCAGAGGGATGTAAACCAACCTCTTGAAAATTTCATGAAAGAGCACTTTCCATATTCAAAGAAGGTCTCGGAGGTGAGCCATGAGCTGGTTTATCTCCTTCCTAAGAGATTTGAAAGCAATTTCCCTGAGTTTTTTCAGAAGCTCGATGAGAATCTTGAAACATTGGGAGTATCTTCATATGAAATCTCAATGACTACTCTTGAGGAAGTGTTCTTGAAAATTGAAAAAGAGGCTGAGAGTTTACAAGAAAATCAAGAAATTCATCAGGAGCTAAGTGACACTGAATTATATCCAAAGGAGTATAATATTAGAGATCAGTCAACAAAAAAGAAATGGGACACCTTCTTATCTCACTTGGGTATTTTATTTTGTAAGAGACTCAAACTTACAAGTAGGAGTTTCTCTTCAATTATGCTGGATATCCTCTTACCTATTCTGCTTGTGACTATGGGAATCATGGCATTCAACTCAATGAAGTATTTTGATTCACCAGAAAGGAAGCTAGACCCTTCTTTATTTCCCAAACCTCAGAGGATAATTTACAATGACAGACTGATCAACGGAAATGGTAGTCCTGATGAAATTGTTAAACTAATGCCAGGATTTGGAGAGTTTATCGCATCTCAGCCAATCAGGGCATCTATTACTGATGATATTTCTACATTAGAAAGCTTTGATAACCAAATATATCAATTAAGGGTAGAAGAGCCAGTTGAGCCTTACAGATATGGAAGCTACTATTTTCACACTCTTGACACAACAAATAATGTTTACAAGGTAGTTACTTTGGTGAACTCTACTAGTCAGGATTCCTCTGTTGCCTTTACACACTTTATGTACCAAGCTATTCTGCGTAAGGCTTCTGGAGATGATAATCTGAAGTTTACCGCCACTACCTCACCAATGCCTATAAATAAGAGATTCAAGGAGAATTCAAAGAAGGAGAAATCTCTGTATATAACCTCAACTTTGACACTTGGGATAACTGTGATTATTATAAACACTTTAAACTTCTTACTGAAGGAGAAAACAGAGAGGATATTCCATTACCAAAGACTGAACGGGATGAATAAGGATACATACTGGGTATCCAATTTTATCTTCGATACAGCAAAGATATACACTGCTTTCGCACTGATATATACCCTGTTTAAGGCCTTTAGCTTGCAAATAGACTATATAGGAGTCTTACTGTTTCTATCCCCTGTTCCTATAGTGGCTTACTCCTACGTTGTGACTCTAGCATTCAAGAATCAAGTGACTGCAAATAATTTCATCTTTATTTTCAACTTTGTCGTTTGAGGAGTATGACCCTTCATTGCTAATAATTATTCGATTCAGGAGGAAGATTGGGTTTATAGAATAGCAATGACATGGACATTGAGAATATTTCCTTCCTATTGTCTCATTGACGGTGTGGACAATCTACTTCTGAAGGAATACATTGGGTATTACAATAATCTAGACAAATCTCCCTCTGCGTTTTCGGCGAGAGTAGCTGGGCCAGATCTTTTGTTTCTCCTCTTTCACTTCTTTTTCTGGATAATTTTACTGTACATGATTCAGAGGAAATCTTGGAAATGCAACTGTAAAAGGAACAACAAGAAGGTAATCTTAAAGCCAAGGTATAAATCAAGAGATGTGGAAATAATCAATGAACAGAATAGAGTCCATAAGATACCTTCAGATTCCCTTGCAGTAAAATTTGATAAGTGCCAGGCAATTATTAATCAGAAAGTTCTCCTAAATGAAATCTCTCTTGCTGTCGGTCATGGTGATTGTTATTGTCTTCTAGGAATAAATGGGGCTGGCAAATCGATTACTCTTAAAATGCTGGTTGGCCAAACCCCTATCGCATCAGGGAAGTGCTACGTTGAAGGGTATAATATCAAGCATGAATTGATGAAGGTAAGAAATAAAATTGGTTACTGCCCTCAATCAAATCCAATCTTCGAATCCTTCACGGTCTCAGAACACCTAGAATATTATGCAAAGTTAAAAGGAATCCCTAAAGAATTCCTAAAGAAGTCGATTAAAGACATAATGAGAGGTCTAAACTTGGACTTGTATAAGCACAAAAGAGCATGGAAATTATCAGAGGGAAACAAACGTAAACTTTCTGTAGCAATTGCTTTAATAGGAGGACCTCCGGTCCTCCTCCTGGATGAACCCTCATCAGGAATGGACCCACAGTCTAAACGATTAATGTGGGAGATTATCACCCAGATCAATAACGGAGATGAGAAAGCATCTGTCATTTTTACAACACATTCTATGGAAGAAGCTGAAACATTATCAACTAATATGGGAATCTTGGTTGACGGCCAGATCAAATGCTTTGGCTCTAAGCAAGATATTAAGGAAAAGTTCAGGACAGAGTACCAAATCGAGGTCAGATACAACGAACTTACAGACATTGAGGTAGATGAGCTAATAGAGATTCATAAAATCATGGACTATCTTGAAAAATACTGCTCTAATCTGTACAAGACAGTCGATGATAATCAGCGCTCACTACAGATTACTGATGAAGCTTGCAGAGGTATATTGGCAAAAATCTTCGAGAATGATTTTGCAGAGCAAGAGTTTACAACAAAAGGACTTGGTCGAGAAATCAGGTTCTTGCTGGAGGATAACAAGTATTACTCTCTTTATTCATTGATCAGGTGGCAAGATTATATGTTTAAAGTCAAAAAGAGCATTGATTACTTTGGTAAGTTAAGAATATAATTTATTTATCCTTATGATTTAATATTACACACCCAAATTTTAGCTTACATCATTTATCACTCAATATAGTTCAGAGGTTTGGAGAAACTTCTCTAGTAGAAGAGGTCCTTCCAAAATGTAGATTTAGGATTCCCAGGATGGGGAAGCCTATCGGATATTTCTTTAATTTGATGGAACAAGAGAAAGAGAATCTGGAAATCTCAGAATACTCTATCTCACAAGCTAACCTAGAACAGATCTTTAGCATCTATGCAGGAAAGAGAAGCGTCAAATATGTCGGCAAACGTTACAGATCTAGCCAACTCGACAGAAAATCTCCCAGTTTTCCCAAAGAAGAGTTCAAAAAGGAAAAATCTGCTGATTTTGAAGCTGGGTTTTTAGAAACCCCCTAACTTCGATTCAGCAAAACTTATTTTGAATATTATTTTATTTCACCAAAATTTATATATCTCAATATAAATTCTACTCCTTGGGGTTTTGGGGTTTTGGGGTTTTGGGGTTTTGGGGTTTTGGGG